TTTGGCTGCGTGCAAGTGGGTCCTTGTGACACACGGGGATGGGGGCAGCCAGCGCTCAACCTGTCATCCACGTGGCTGGCCTTGTACGTAAGAGGTTATGAACAGGTGGAGCTTTCCTTACCTCTTCCCCTTCCCCTTTTTTCCTTTTCCTTTTTTCTTTCCCCTTTTTTTCGCTTCTGCGCTCTGATTCACAATGTGACAATATATGTATACACTATATACTCAAGCGAAATGGAGGGAGAGATAGTGGGCAACACTATCTGCTAAAAATCTATCACAGCCTCCCTTTCTGTCCTCTGATCTCCCCTCTTTCCCACGTGGCGATATGCGTTCGCTGTCACTGACACACATAGATATACATGTCAATGATGTCATATACATATGAGCCTCATATGGCGCATATGAGTGTCGTTCCAGTACATACGTTACGCGCCCAGGGCAATTGCGCGGTCACCATGGTGTTCCCTTTTAATGGCGCGATAAGTGGCCATTGTACCTTTCCCGCCGATAGAAACAAATGTACCAAATAACAAAGGGAGGAAGATCACCCATACTTTTCCTTACTTGTTTCTACAGTCTGTCAAAGCCTCTCATGTGCTGTCCAGTTCTCCCTTGCTGCCTAGATCCTGCACCCCCGTGTATATGTATATTTATATATAAATATATAATCACTGCCCACCTTCGGCTCGGGCAGTCGGTGTTGCTTAACCACAACCGGGGTTAATCCGTTAGGGGATTCCGCAGACTATTTTTGAGGGTTCAGCCTCCTCCTGATGAGTCAGTTGGTGAAACTCCGACCAAACAGTTTGTCACACCCCCTCGTTTGTTGTCCTCTTCTCCCTTCCCTCCTTCTCTGCCTACGCTTTACCGGGCAGCTCTATTTGACGATAACAGTTTGTCACAGCCCCTCGTTTGTTGTCCTCTTCTCTCTCTCTGCCTACGGTTTACCGGGCAGTTCTGTTTGTGACGATATATATATAGTCAAACAGAGCTGCCCGGTAAACCGTAGGCAGAGAGGGAGAAGAGGGCACACGGGGGTGGGGGCAGCCGCCGCTCAACATCCACGTGGGCGGCCTTATACGCAAGAGGTTCTGAACAAGGGGAGTCATAAGGAAGAAGATAAAAAGACTGAATTCATTTTTTCCTGTTTTCCTTTTTTTCGCATTTGCGCTCTGATATTTATGTGATGATATATATCCACGTGGGCGGCCTTGTAAGCAAGAGGTTCTGAACAGGGGGAGTTGTAAGTAAGAAGATAAAAAATTAATTGATATCTTTTTTTTTTTTCCTTTGTTTTTTTCGCTTTTGCACTCTGATAT